CGGGGTCTCCGGGCTGAGGACGAGCGCGCGCGCGGGAAGTTTGAGGCGGGGCGGGAGCGCGAGGCCCGCCTGCCTGGCGTGGCCGCCACGTGGGCCGAGCGCCCCGGCGCTCCGGCCGGCCTGAGGGACGCACTTGGCCTCTGGGACCTCGGGGGCGGGGGCGGGGCCGCGGCGTCTGTGTCAGGCTCGTCCCACCCGGACTTTCAAAGGACAGCCTTCCCGTCCCAGTCATTCGCTCGTCGCCACGTGTTTCTAAAACGGCTGCCGGGACAGTTGGGTTGTCCAACAGGTTTGTAAGAAAGACCAGGTTGTTCCCTGTGCTGTCCGGAAGTGTGTAGTCCTGGGAGCCCCAGGATCTTCATTACTCCACTAATTAGCTCTGAAGTCGGTGCCAGGCCTTTCATGTCACTGGGCTTCTGTTGAAGTGGAGGAGCCTGATTGACCCAGCTTTTCCCACCATCGTTTGGATGGTTTTTGTCTCTTTGGCCGCAGCCTTTGTAACATCGTGATCACTAAAATACATTGAGGAGGTGCAATCCATTTTTTTCCTCTAAAATAGAACTAAAGAGGTAACTGGCAATCACAGATTTGGTCAACAGGAGAACCAGTTTTCCCTCTCTGAAATGATCAACAATTTTTTGGGTCCTTACATGTTTTAGGCCAGCCTAGGCAAACTTGTTATAGGCAATATATCACTTCCGTCAGGTAGCGGTGTGTGTGTAATTGAGCCGAGTGACTATGATCCCCTATGTTAGTGGATCTAAAATTTACGTAGAGAACATACTATATTAACTCAGGTTTCCGGGCCCCAGCCTACCAGAAGTGCTAATCCGGTAGGCTGGGGCCCAGAAATTTTCATGTTCAGAAGCATCCCTGGTAACCCCCACACAAAAGCTTTGCAGATTATAAAGACATACCTCCCTCCCCTCATTCGTTATAACCACTGATGGCTAAGTGCCTTTCAGCTCTGACAATACTGTTGAAGGGCCAGTTGCCATCAGAAGAATAATCCCCATTATTCTTGAATATACCCCATTATTCTGAAAATACCATCTGTTTCCTCCAACTTTGTTTTTTGTGTAAGGCTTTTGAGACTTTTCTCTAAAATTATATACAAGAGATGAAAACGGGGGGGAAAAATCATTCAGCAAACATTTCTTAGGGTCCTCCTATTTGCCACTCTTAGGATCTGGAAATGTGCATGTACAGCCATCCTTTCCTTCAAGAAGCTGTGTTATGACTTCTTGTCAGTGACTATCTCTATAGAAAAGATTAAGACACTTAAAAATATAAAGGCCGTTTCTATTTGTTGGCTGTGGAATGGCTATCAGTATGGATTATTTTCTACAGTTTTAATCCTTCAAAGGTGTTTAGATTAATTAGTGTTTTTTATCAGTGGGCAGTTAGTAAGATATAAACCATGAATCTTTTGGCTTAATCATTTTACATTTTAATACTTGTCAAATTAGACAATTGCTTTTTTTTTAACTTTTTCTAATTGAAATAGAATTGATATAACATGTTAGTTTCAGGTGTACAACATAATGATTCCGTATTTGTATATATTGTTATATGGTAACAATTGCTTTTTAAAAGCTTACTTTTTCCCCCCTGTAGCTTTATAAAAATATTAAATTTCTGTTTGGGTGGTCTGTGAGGTTTATAGGCCGACTTGTGTTGGCTGTACTTTCCTAGACAAAGCATTCTCTTGTTTAATTACCATATTTCTTAGATTCTAAGTCATGCTTTTTTACTTTTTATAGTTTCTGAAATGATGATACATCTTTCGATTTTTGTATGTTCTATGTGATATAGTATGTCATCTGTTCTCTCCACTACTCCCCACAAGCTGTTAAAAAGAAATTGTCATCTTACATTATGGGTAGTGCGAGAATCAGAGAAATAGTATATTTTTCCAGTAACCGCTAAGCTAGCTTCCAATTAATTGAGCCTGTTAATCATTTCGATATGAACATAGAGAAACAGTAAATGATGTAATTTTGGTAGCATAAGTAGTGAAATGTATATTGTAACAAAAACATTTGTTACGCAGTGCTGAGGTTGATTTGTTAGTAAGTGTAGATGGGAAAAATATTTTAAGTGATTTATTTTTGGCTTAAGTGTTCTGTGGACTCTGTTTAACTACACTTCTTGGCGATAGTGCTTATACTGGATTCAGATATTGTGCTTAAAGATCACAAGCCTTTCACTTGCATTTTCCTGCTGCTTCCATCCCTTAAATGTTAAACCAATTGTGAGGGATAAGAGATGTGTGGCTGAATATGAAATTACTTCATCATAGGGTATTTTTAATGATATGAGCCCTCTGAGCTAATCTAAATTTTTAAAAATTAAATGTGAGCCATGTTGGGGGTCCCCAAGACCATTGTAAGTTCAGTGACTTACTGGGTAGCGGCAACTGGGTAGCGGCTACCCAATTGCCAACCAGGGAAGGTCATTAGACATTCAGTACCCAGGATTTTTTTTTTTTTTTCAATAGAGGGCTGGTCACCTAGACGCCCTCTGCCTGGCACTACCAAACTCCCAGACTCCCAGAAGAAAAGCTGATGTTCATATAAACCACGTTGTTTGCACAAAGAGTTTAGGTACAGTGGGTCACTCTTATCATTTAATGGTGGTGGGAATGCTAGGGAAATCGAAGTTCCCAGATGTCAGCTGTAAGCTGGCCTTACAGATTAACTAATCAGTTTTTATGTCTGAGTTCCAAGTACTAGCACTGTTTTGTCTCACTGAAGACTTGGTTCAATGAGAAATCAAAATGGTCTGGAAAACTTAAGAATAGGAAACATTTTCAGAAAAGTCTCATGGATGACATACCTGAAAACATTAAAGTTTAGCTTTTTCTAAGCCTAAACCCTTAGGCCTCAAATACAAGCTTTTAGTATCAGTTTTTATTAGTTCTCCACCAGGGTCCTGTGTTTCCCTACCAATAGCCCTTGATCAGAGCTGTCTGTGCGTACACAATTTAGAAGCTAAAATGAGGCCACTAGGGAGCTTTATATTTTGATGTTTCTACTTCCTAATTTGTTCATTTTACATTCAGGTTGCATTCTAAATGTTCATTTATAAATTACTTGTTGCAATGTGTAACATTATTCCAGGGTGCTTACTTCCCAGGCCAGACCACTAATTCTCCTTAGCAGTGTAGCCGAAACATAGCTTAGTTATATAAGACACAGGAGCAGAACACAGTGTTCTTGCAGTTCTGATAGCCCAACAAAATAGGAAACCCTAACATCTATAAATAAGCTACTGGTCTCTAGGAGATATTGGTTTTTATAAGTTCAGGTTTTTATAATCATTTTGGGACAGCGACTCCTTTAAACAATGGACACCTGCCCCCCCTGCCCCGAAAAAAAATATTTTAAAATAGAAATTTGCAGTTCAGGGAATTCATATAATTTGAGTTACCCTTCTTGAACCCCAGGTGAGGGACACCTGCATTGTAAATGTGACAGTAGTTGTGGTTTGGGGTGGTTCTGAGAGAGGCCTGGAGGTGTTGCTCGTCTTGCTACTCAAGTGTGGTCTGTGGACCCGCAGCAGCAGTGTCACCTGGGAGCTTGTTAGAAATGCAGAATCTCAGCCCCACCTCAGATCTAGCCCAGGTGATGGGTACGTACATTCAAGATGGTGGAGTGCTGTGTTAGAGGTTGGCATTTTATTGTGTCTTAGTTTAAAAGTTACAGCTTTTTAAAGACTTGGTATAATAGAACTATTTTTAGCCTTCACTTTTCAGCCTCTAATTAGTTTGTTTTTCTAATGGGGAAGGGGTTTCCGATAAAGTGGCAATTTTCAGGAATAAGCTGAGATCTGGGAGTGAGGAGGTTCAGGTGCTTGAGGAAGCTACTTGGGAGCAGGCAGCTTCTTGCTCCAGCCACCAGGTGGCACCACTGGCCCAGGGGACTACCGGTTGCTCTCCTGAACAAGAAGCAGTTGGGGGTGAAGCTGTGGTGGGGAGCACCTGGTGGTGGGGAGCACCTGGCAGTGGGCAGCTGTTGGTAGCTCTTTAGTCAAGTGCTTGTTACTCAGAGTACATCTAATTAGATTTGGGACCTGGTGCTGATTGAGGCCAAATTAAAGATTTTTGACTTGCTTTGTCAATGGCCACAGGCTAAAACTCGGAGTAGAAACTGCTAAGATAGTTGGGTCCTTTAATTTGGGATAATTACACTTCCTAATAAATAAACAATGAATTCCACCACTTAGTGCTTGTGTACAAGGAAAACATACCATCTTTTAGCTGAATGTTTAATCTGGCCTTTGAGACTGAGTCCTGTTTTGGAAGAAATGGTGTTGGCTTAAGTCTGTATCACACCCTGGAGGAAAAGGCATCAACTCAAGGCGCCATGGTCATGCAGTTGTGTGTGTACGATCTGCTAACACCAACACATGTCCTTTGTTCTCTTGGTAGGTTTGCATTTCCTCACGGCTGTGTCCTGAAGACAGAACCATGCCAAAGAAAGCAAAGCCTGCAGGGGCTGGGAAGGAAGAGGGGCCCGCTCCCTGTAAACAGCTGAAAATGGAGGCAGCTGGGGGGCCCTGGACTTTAAACTTCAGCAGTCCCAGCGGTCTCTTTGAAAGTTTAATTGCGCCCATCAAGACAGAGACTTTTTTCAAGGAATTCTGGGAGCAGAAGCCCCTTCTCATTCAGAGGGAGGACCCTGCTCTGGCCACGTATTACCAGTCCCTGTTCAAGCTGTCTGATCTGAGGAGTCTGTGCAGCCGGGGTATGGACTACGGAAGAGACGTGAATGTCTGCCGGTGTGTCAATGGGAAGAAGAAGGTTTTAAATAAAGATGGCAAAGTGCACTTTCTTCAGCTGAGAAAAGATTTTGATCAGAAAAGGGCAACAATTCAGTTTCACCAGCCTCAGAGATTTAAGGTAACAGGTTCTCCCCGCTGCAGTATCCTTGTTTGTATTAAAAGTGCTTTCCGTTTGGTCACGGATCAGCCCATGGATGAACCTGTGGATTGATGATCATTTTCCTCCTGCCAGTGTGAGAAGAGGCGGCTCCTGTTTGGACTTTAAATGTATCCCAAATTAAGAGATTCTGGTTACCTTTTGGACAAATTGTTAGAAAATGTCCATCATTCAGGGTGGACGTGATTGGGTGTCATCAAGATGCACAAACTAAATTCTGTTGCTAGTTTATAAAGTTTATTACAGTAACATTACGCCTCCGGGAGCATGCTCTGGGGGCTGGTGTCGGTTTGGTATATGGTAGACATTTCGGTTTGGTTTGTCCTGTCATTATAAAGGCGGTCATTTTCTTGTTGAAGTTGCTGCCTTTTACTGCCTGCATCTACCTAAGTAGAGGCTTCAGAGCCATGACTGGATCACACTCCAGATGTATGTTCAAGAAACATATTTCTTCACCTTTATAAACAGCAGGCCACCTGTGTGGCCGTGAGGGCCTGGGGCTGCAGTCCTACATGTAGGATAGCTTTGATTTGCAAGCCCAGAATACTGGCTAACTTTTTAATTTTCTCCACATCAGTGAAGAGTGGAGAAGGAATTTGCCTCCTCTGGGCTCAGTTTCTGCATTTATAAAATGCAGATTCAGGATGTGCTAATCTGCTTTTGTAGAGGTTGGAGATCTTTACATGACAGGCGGCCCCAAACAATCTGATGGCCTGTTCGGAGTCCTATTTTATCCCATTCAGAAATCCCCTTCAGTGACCCACAGCTGAATCGAAGTGGCAGCACGGGAGGAGGAGGAGAGCAGTTCACGAGGCTCCATATGCAGGGGGTATATGTGCAAAGATTATATGCAAAGATTCTGGCTGTGTTGGTGGCTCCTGGATTTTGTGATCAGTTACCAATAATGCTTCTCATGACTGACCTCAAGAGTCGCCCTGTTAGATCCCATTGTGTCTCATCTGGTGATTAATCTGGTGAATGATTCTCTTTCTTGTCTGAAGGATCCTGAACCTATTTGTACTCTATATAAAGTTTAAGTAGGCTTAGATTTTTTAGCACAAGTCCTGATTTCAGATATTCCATTGCAGGCTATCATACGATATGGAAATGTCTATGGAATTGCCAACCTTTTGGCCCAAGCACCCAACAGGAATTCATAAATCACTTGCCAGATATGACATGAATTCAGAAAATGGGGACACCATGGTGCTTCTCTCTGAGCCAGTCCTTGAACTCTTTACTTGGCTAGAAGCAGCACCTTTCTTAAAAGAGTAGGTTTTAGACACCTAAGAATTATGAACATAAAAGATCACTGAAGTTGATTACATGTAATTTGGTTACAGACCAATAGAAAGCTATTGTTTGCCATATGTGTGTTGTCCTCTGTGGCTTCATTTCTATACTTCAGAATCATCTTGGGCGTTGCTCATCTACTTAAGCCCTGCATGTTCTTCCTCCTCGATTCCAGGTGGTCAGAATGTATTTCCCTTACCCTGCGGCCTCAGCTGTTTGGCCATGTTTATTAACGCAAGAAGGATGAGTTCTCTCAGTCTAAACTCAGACACCAGGCTAGACTAGGATGCACCCTGTTTTGCTTTTTTTTTTGTCTTTCCATCACCAGTAGTTGACAGACCTACAAGCTGTTGGAGCTCACTCTCTTACACTAGAAGCTGGGTTCTAAATATATCATGAGGAGGTTTAGTGTTGTGTGTGTGTGTGTTTAGGAATGGGTACATTAATATCAGGATAGGAAAATCTAGCGGCAGTTCAGCCCCTTGTTTACTGGGTCTCACAGTGTGCACAGCTTATTGTAATTAGTCTGGAAATGAGTTAACCAGAGAGCCATAGTGGTTCCCCACCTGCGTTGTGTAATCTGTATATCAAACATCTGGGTGAGCTCACCAAATATTTACACGTGTTAACTTTAGAATCTTCCAAAAGACATTTGAAATAGGGCAGTCATTGTGGTCTCCGTTTTCCATGTAAAAAAAATTGGAGTTCACAGATGTGACTTTTCCATAGCTACTAAGTAAGGACTTCGGATTCCACATTTAAGGCATTTTCCTACTGTACTTTTAAAGATGTTAATTGAAAGGTAGGACTTTTGGCATGTTTGTTTTTGCCTTTCTTTAGGCGTACACGTGGGCTTCTGCTATTAACTATGGCATTCAGTTTTGATTCTGTGGGGGGGGTCAGTGGAGAGAGGAGGTTGTACCCAGGTAGGAGAGAGGCTCCCATTTTTTTCATTGTTCTGGGGCCCTCCTTGGCATCTGCAGGCATAGATGGGAGTCTTGAGTTAAGGAGAAGACACATTTCAGGGGCCGTGGTTGTGCCTATGTCAGCGCTGGTGAAGCAGTTACACTTGTGTACTGCTTTGCAATTTAAACAGGATGGGGAATAAGTTGTGTTGTGCTGTTTCCCACAGTCTTAGAGTGTGAGCCTTCATTTTACAAATAAAAAAGCTGAAGTCACCGAGCTTGTAACTATAACTTGGACTGAGATGGTTTGCCTCCACATCTCTTTGTAGTAGGCCACACTTGGCAGATTCAGAAGCTAAAGATCCAGTAGAGATGGGAAAATTGTTCGGTCGACAGGGTTTTCAGTACCCTTTAAGAAGAAAAGATACACACACACACACACACACGCACACACACACACACACACACACGCACACACTCGCACGCTCATACACTCATCAATTACAGACCCAGATGGTTGAGTTGGGATCCCTAAAGTCACCCGTATGGTCCTGAGACAGCTCTCAGGCCAGCAGAGAAGGGAGAAGCCCTGTTTTTCCAGTGGTTCGAGTCACCATATAAATGTAATTACAGAACCAGGTCCTGCCAGCCCCTCCCTGGTATAAATTAGACGCCTTGGGAGCTCTGACTCTTTGGAGCTGTTCAAATGCCATGAAATTACTCTTCCTGTGTTAAGTAGAACCTCTGAGATCTATAGAGTAGCCCAGTGGTCTTTATAAAGACATCTCCCAAAGCTTTCTTCATACTGACCCAGTTCTTTCCCACTTGATATTTTTAATACTGTAGACCCCTTTTTAGCTCAGTGGTAGGATTTACTCCCAAGCTGTGGTCATTGGTTTATCCAGCAAATACTTTAAATATGTTTTAGTGTTTTCTATGTGCTGGTCACTATACATTCATATGCCTGAAACCGGTTCTTCAAAGTCCTTTGACTGGTCTTTCTTTAAGATAATTCCTTAGATGGTGTAGAGTTGTGGTTAAAGGTAGAGCCAGGCTGCTTGGATTTGAATCCTGGCTCCATCATTTACTAGCTGTGTGTTCTCATACCTCAGTTTTCTCATCTGTAAACGAGCTAATGATAATACCCAGCATCTGAGATGGGATTCTTCGGAGAGTGATACAATTAATAAACGTAAAGCACTTAGAAACAGTGCCTTGCACATAGGAAGTGCTGCTGGTATCATGTGGCCTAATTGCTGCCTCCCTTCTTCTTATCTGCCTTGGGAAAATCAGGTTCTTTCCCTCTTGCAGGAATATATGGCTCCTCTCTAGGCCCCTTAGTCTGATTTATACCCTACAAGCAGATTAGTGCCTGGAGAGAGGGAATTTCTCTCCGCCCATTTCCTCCTTCTCTGTTTGTACCCTCTTCCTACATTATCATTTCTGCTTCCCTTGCTTTAAATATCAGTTTTGTGCAGGGAATTCCCAAATGTAAATCTCTAGCCTTGACTTCTTGCCAGAACTTCAGACTTAGACAGCCAGAAGCTAACTTAAAAATATCTCCGTGTGGGGGCGGGGCTCAGTGGCTCAAGCTTAACATTTCTAATACAGAACTCATTTTTCCCCATCTGAAAAACTTGTTCTTTAGCAAGTCTTTTCCATTTCAGTAAATGGAGCTGGGAGCTAACTAATTGCTCCAGGCAAAAACCCAGCAGTATATTTTTTTACTCTTCCCATTCCCTTATAGAGCGCTTTGGATTTATTTAGTCCATCCACAAGTCCTACCAGTGCTACTTTCAGAGTGCATCTCAACCTTTCCACCGCACTGCTCATTTCTCACCTGGGCAGCTGCCTTAGTAGCTTCCCAACTGATCTCTCTTGCTTTTCTACAGTCCATTCTTCACTCAATAGCCAGAGTGAGCTTTTTAAAAATATAAATCGATGGCTGTCATTTTCCTGCTTAGAGCCTCACATGAGCCCAGACTGCCTGCCTAGCCAATCTCGTATATGTGCTCGCATCTTTTCTGTGGTGTCTGCAGTGGAACAGAAGATTCTTGAGGGCAAGGATCTTGGTGGGTTTTCACTGCTTAATTCTCGGTGTCCGGGACATCATGGCTGTGCTGTAGAGACTTGGGAAGCAAATAAGAAATGTCCGGGCCGGCCAAGTGGCGCGTTGGTTGGGAGCTGGCTTGTGACGCCAGAGGACCCTGGTTCGGATCCCACATATGAGGGCCAGTGACACTGCCCTCTACAGCTAAGATGCTGAACAACAGCTCAACCTGAAGCTGAGCTGCCGTGAGTCGCAGGTGATGGCGTAAGCTGCAGCCCCTGCTGCAGTGGGTTGCCATGGGCTACTGTGTGTAGCCAGCAGCCAGCGTGAGTAGCCAGCAGCCGCAGTGAGCAGCCGTCCAGAAGCCGGCGACCGATCTGCCTCGCCAAGGAAGAGCGCAATGATGGTGCCAACTTGGGCCAGTGAAGCAACGTCCTCCACAACTAGACTGAAGACCAAAAGGACAGCAACTTGTCTGTTCCCCTTCCCCCAATTCCCCAGCACTGTTCCCATCCCCAAATTCCCCCCCCCCCAAAAAAAGAAAAAGAAATGTCCCTCCTCTCACTGCTAATATATTGTTCACCTCCTCCCACCCTTTCTTCTCTCTTTTCCCCACTAAAGGATGAGCTTTGGAGGATCCAGGAGAAGCTGGAATGCTACTTTGGCTCCTTGGTTGGCTCGAATGTGTACATCACACCCGCCGGATCTCAGGGCCTGCCGCCCCATTATGACGATGTTGAGGTACGAGGAGGAAGACGGCTCACCTCCGGGAAGCAGGAGTTGTGTGAGCCTGGGTTAGGATAGTTGTCAGGGTTCAGCGCTGCTCTTGGGCCAGGTCTCTGTCCACTCTTCCTGTGTAGCCTCTGGAGATCTTGACCCCACCTAGATCCTGGGCCAAAATTCATCCCACCAAACTGGTTTCCTGGCCCTTCTCCAAGGGAAGAGATTGTTTCCAGCCTGATGAATATAAAGAGCTACAGATTCCTATGAAACAGGTATTTGTTGAGTTTATCTACAGAAAAGTGTGATTGGCTTTTTCTTTAATTTCACAGAGTATGGTCTTTAATAAGGTGAGGTCACAAGCAATCCTTACATCTGCTTTCATTTTGTCCCTTTTGCTGCCCCAAACTATTTTTTTTTTTCCTTGTGAAAATCTTGGGGCAGCTTGAATGAAGGTCATGGTTTCACTTAAGCGCTGGCACCTAGACAAGTGTTGATTTCACTCTGCTGTGGCTGCCAAAAAAAATTAACTCTTTGGCTTAGGTATTTCGTAGTTTTATTTTTGTACTAATACAAGGTGTGAACACAGAGTAATTAGCAAAAACTCCCTTTGTCCTCCTTTGAGAGCAATTTGATATCAATACATTTTTCAAAAGTTCTTGGTTAAAAAAAAAAAAAAGAAAACGCTTTTAACAGAGCCTTAAAATATCTTTGGCTGAATGAAGAATAAAAAAACTTGAAGCTTTCCTATCTGCCAACGATTATATTCAGGATTTTAGACTTTCAGTCATACCTGAAGCTTGGCTTTTCCATCAGAGATTATGGGCTTTCAGTTGTCTGATAGTGGATTTAAAGGAATGAGATAGTGGGTATGTAGTGGGATTGTAAAGAGCTCAGTGAGGTTTCATGAAAGTGAAAAGAATGAATATCCTTCTAGTATCAGGGTTCATGATTACCTATTTTTAAAAGTGAAAACCAGTAGTGGCAGCTTTTAAGTGTGGAGTGCAATGTGTATCTCTGATCTTTCATTTCTATTTTTTATCTGCAACTTGTAATTCATCTAAGCCCTCGGAGGGCTCCTATTCTAGAAGCACTGCCTCGCGAGTTGTCGGGAAGCCCTCTGACACTCCGGTCCTGTGGCTCTCTGCAGGTTTTCATCCTGCAGCTGGAGGGGGAGAAACACTGGCGCCTCTACCCCCCGACACGGCCCCTGGCACGGGAGTACAGCGTGGAGGCTGAGGACAGGATTGGGAGGCCAGCACACGAGTTCACGCTGAAGGTACGGCACTTCCATTGCGGGCACCTCTCCTGAGACAAGTTCAGGGTTGAGGTTTACTGTTCATGTAATGGTCCCCGTGGGAAGGTATCCAAGAGTTACAGGGCAGGGGAGCTCTTGTTCCAGGCAGCCAGCACATACAGCTTCCCAGGGAGTCTTGGTAGGTTGCACTTGTGGAAGAGAGCGAGGAAGCACTAAGTTCATTTTCCATATAACGTGTCTCCAAATATAACCCACGTTCAACAGGAATCAATTATGAATTCAGTGTCCCCTGACTTATCTCAACTAAAAGTGGAAGGTGTGGCCTTGGGCAGCTGTGCCGAATCTACGACAGCGGTCAGCATGGGGCTGTAGGCTGCTTAGGCAGAGCACAGCCAGAGGCCCCTTCTTTTTTTTGTTGGTAAAATTCCAGTATGACCCATTTTCCTCCTGATTGTGCAGCTGACTCTTTCTGCACTCACCTCCCTTGCCCTTGCATAAAGTCACTAGAAGGATAGTAGTTATGAAAGCCCTTGAGTCTTCCAGGAAGCCAGGTAGCTTGATCACATGCTAGTTTGTTGGTGTCTTGCTGCTGAGAAAGTGTCTTTGAGCAGTTAGCCTGGGCATGATCATAGCCAGTCACCCTAGCAGGTGAGTTTCTTGAGAAAAAAATCTTAGAGGGAAAGAATAGCTCCATAATTAAACTTGATGCCATCGCCTACAAAACATAAATTTTTATTTCCTTCAGTGGCAGTAAGATAATTCAAACCATTCCTAAGATTCTGCCTACCTGATAGCATTGCATATAGTTATTGGGGTGTTTTTTTTTCATTTTTTATTTCTTGTCTCTTAAAGTTATAATTAGTGTCTACTTCTTACTCAGTGCCTAGGACCCTTTGTTCATTTTAAATACTTTGCCTGCCTACCAGTAACTGGGGGAAACAATGTCCCTTTTCTAGGATGGGTGCCTATATTATAGGAGACTTAAATACAACAATAAAGCTACTCTGCATTTTTTATGCTCTTGGTCAGCAGTCAGCAAACTGTGGCCCATGGGTCAAAAATATGGCCTGGTGCCTGTTTTCATAAATAAAGCTCATTGGAACACAGCCACACTCATTTCTGATGTGTAGTCTAGGGCTGCTGTCACATTACACTGCAGAGTGGGCTAGTTGCCATAGAGACCACATGGCCCAGAAACCACAAGTATTTATTATCTGGCCCTTTACAGAAAGAGTTTGGCAACCCAGCTCTTGGTGAAGCATGTTTATTTAGGCGCTTGGTTGATTATTTTTAGGCTAAAGACTAAGCCATCCATGGTCGCTGAGGCCAGGACTTAGTTACCCAGACTGACTGCTGGCTGCTCGCCCTGCCCCAGGAGGTCGGGCTTCACAGTGGTCTTCAGGGCGGATGGCGTGGGCCTTGGAGGGGTGGAGCACTGCCCACTGATCATAGCCGTCCTGGTCACAGTTCATTAAGAAAAGCCCTGAGGCTCCTGGGAGAAGGACAGCATCATGCACTGCAGGCTTTTTCAACTTGTATGTTTGTATACATGTGAGTTTTTAATTGGTGAAACACTTCCAATGAAATCTTGCGTAAATGCCCAGTATGTGGAATAGAAAAGCTGAGCTGCGGCGGGTGTGGGGGCTGCGATGAGAGTCCTGGAGCCCTTCTCGTCCCTCTTCCTCTCTCCTCCATGGCAGCCTGTGTGGTACATCTGCCAAATTCAGGATTTAGCGGGGCGAACACCAACCCTGTGGTGGCAACACCATTCTGTGGCTTGGGGAGCTGACAAATCTGAGTTCGAATTCCTCTGCTGTCACTTAGGGGCTGTGTGTCCTTGGGCAAGTTATTTATCTAAGTCTCAGTTTCTTCTTTATTAAAATGGAGATCATCATATTTACCTTACAGGTTGTAAGGATTGAAAAATATTACTGTGATGCTTCCCTAACAATGAAATTCCCTAGAAGAGATGGCCATATGCCAGTATATTGCAGCTTATCAAATTACCTCAAGCTCAGTGGCTTAAAACAACACAAATTTATTATCGAATAGTTCTGCAGGTCGGAAGTCCAAATCACTTGGCTGAGATCAAGGTGTCAGCAGGACTGCGTCCCCTCTGAAGGCCCTAGGGGAGAACCTGTGTCCTGGCCTTTTCCAGCCTCTAGAGGCCGCCTGCGTTCCTTGGCTCATGGCTCCTTCCTCCATCTTCACAGCCAGGGACATGGAGCTTAGTTTTTCTCGCACTGCTGTCTCTGGTTCTCTTTTGATACCCTCTCCCATTTTTAATGATCCTTGTGATTACAGTGGGCCTACCTGGATAATCAGTCCAGAAAAATCTCCCTTTCAGCAACTCAATTCTGTTTGCAGCCTTAGTTCACATTGTCCGTGTAACTTAAATATTCACAGGTGCCAGGGATTAGGACCTACACTAATCTTTGGGGACCCTGTCACAACGCCCTGTCTTCATTTCCTCTCCTCCTCTCAGGAGCCCCTCCCTGTAGGTTCTCCCCACCATTCCTCCAGAACCACCCTCCTCAAGGATACCAGTGACCTCCATGTTGTCAGGGACAGTGGTCAGCCCTGAGTTTCCATCTTTGTCTGCCTGTTGGCAGCATGTGACAGTGGGTCACTTCGCTTTCTTCCCTGGACTCCTGGGATGCGGCCTCTCTCGGCTCTCCTTTCATGTTGACTGTTCCTAGTTATGTTCCTTTGCTGTTTGTCCTCCATCTTCCCACCTCTGCAGGTTAGGGCGTCAGGGCTCATTTCCTGTACCTCTTGTCTCAATCCACAGCCATCCCAAGGTTTTTAATCCCCTCCACACTGATGTGTTTTAAGTGCTGTGTTATATTTCCAGCCCACGTCTAGACCAGGGGTCGGCAAACTTTTGAGACAGAAGAGCCGCCAGAGTTCAGCAAACTGCGGCTCATGAGCCACAGGCTCTGAAGTAAAATTGAAAATGTAAAAACTATCATAGTTTCATTTATAAAATTGTTAAAGGATATTATTCACATAATGGTGATTATGTAAAAATATATTTATGGCTCTTGAGTAATTTTTAAATTGTTGTGAGGGACAGGATTGGCTCTTCCAGGGGTTGGCAAACTTTTGAAACGGAACATACCCAAAGAGCTGCATGTGGCTCGAGAGTCGCAATTTGCCGACCCCTGCTCTAGCCTCTTATCTACCTGCCTACTCAATGTCTCCATTGGAAAGGGAAAGGGTATCGCAGATTCAGTGTTCCCCAAATCAGAATCCCATGTCCCAGCCCGTCCCCGGCCTCCTTCTCCCTGTAAACGGGTCCGCATTCTTCTGTTTGTTCAGGATAAAACCCACAAGCGTAGCTTTATACCAGCATCTCCTATCTGATCTCCCCTTTGCAGACTTTTCTGATGTAACAGCCATAACGACCCTTTGAGATCCAGTGAACCCTTTGCACAGACCTCCAGTGACTTTCTATTAAACCCAGAATAAGAGCCAAAGTCCTTCAAACAGTCCCAAAGGCCCTATAATCTGGCCTCTCTGTGCCTTCTCACCTCACCCTCCATCGTGTCTACCTTCACTCACTACCCTTGAGCCACACTGGCCTACCTGATGCTCCTCAAACTTGCCACGCACGCTCCAGCCTCAGGACCTTTGCACTTGCTCTTCCCTGCCCCTGGAGTCCTTTCTCCTCAGGTGGTCACATGGCTGGCTCACTCATTTCCTAAAGGGCTCTACTGAAATGCCCCTCTAGCAGAGAGGTTTCACTGACCATCCTGGATGAAATATTATAGCACCTCTTACGCCAGGCACACTCCACCCCCAACTTCCATCTGCATCCTTCCCCTCCTTCCTCTGCTTATTTTATCTGCATTGCATTCAGCACCACTTGATATTACTTATTTGATATCTCTCGCCCCACCAGTGTCATTGTGCTTACTGTCTCTTCTCTCTTCTCAAATGTTTGTCTTCTCTTCTGGAATGTATTACGTAAGGGCAGGTCTTCGTTTTGTTCGGTGTTCTGTCCCCAGTGCCTAACGTGGGGCCTGGCACGGGGGAGGGTAGGGAAGCATTAATCAGATATTTGTGGGAAGGAAGGAAGGGAGGAAGGAAGAAAGATAGATGTGTGGGCCTCATTCAGAGAGCTGGCACAGAGACACAGCAAACGATAGCTATAATTATGAGTAAAGCATTTATTTACTTGAAGTACTAATTTTCCTGTCAGTTTGGTTCATGGCAAAGAAGCCACCAAGATAGCTCTTTGAATATATATAATTGTATACTGTTTCTCGCTTTAAGGCAAATCTCAACATTAAAAAATAAGTGTCTTTAATCTGATATTTCTTGAGCTCTCCCTCCAGGGCCCAAGCTCTTAACCAGCAAGCCAGACTGTTTCCTGGCTGTGGGTGCAGAGGGGAGATAAGTGGCTCCCAGGATCCTCTCTCTCCTTAGGCAGCTGCTGTACAGAACGTCTTATCTGGGCGGGATTAGGGAGGAGGCAGCTCAGGGCAGCAGTGATTGGGGAGAGTATTTCCACTGGTTTGGGAGAGAAGAGAGGGCGGAGGGGGCTCATCTGCCCAAAAAGTGCCTGATATTTAGCTTCGTCTAGTTTTTAGATTCCAGTGAAGGGTTATATGGTTTTTTCATCCATTTGTCCAAGCATTTCTTGAGCCTGTGTTGTGTGCTTTGGTAGGTTATGCTCTGGGAATACAAGATGGATATAGGCCCTGCCTGTAAGAGCTCACAAACTGTCAGGGACTGGTGGGTAATATAATTATAGTACAACCCCACACCCATTATCGCTCCGAGAACACTGGGTATGGCATTCTCCTTTAATTTTCAAAATAATCCTGAGATTTGGGGTTATTGCCTCCATTTTACAGATAAAGAAACTGAGGCTTCAGGAAGTGAAGTAATTTGCTGGGATTACCGGCAAGTAAGTGTCGGAGTCTGTGTGCATCTAAAGGTCCTGTTATTCACTGCACCACTGAAGGGTGGCGAGGGAGGGAGCAGGCCTCCCAGCCCCAGAGTGTTGCCTCCCTGATCTGGTCTGGGCAGGATACTTTCAAGTGTATCTGGTCTCAGATAATCTTATTTCAAGTGTATAAAGAAAGTGACTTCAGGCACTGAAAGCCTCTCCAGGATTGGGGTTCACAGTGACAAGCTCACGGGCACAGTGACGCGAAACCAGCAGTACCCCACAGGAGCATACTGACCACCCCGTGAATCACTCAGTAGAAGTTTCTAGACTGGAGAACTGAAACTCAAAGCCTGTATTTGTCTCCGTAAAGCACAGGGGCCTGAGAAGATATCCTTATTAATCCCTTTCCCTTTTCTTTTCTTCCTTTAGCCTGGTGGTTTGCTGTACTTCCCCAGAGGGACCATTCATCAAGCAGACACTCCCCCGGGGCTGGCCCACTCCACTCACGTGACCATCAGCACCTACCAGAACAAGTGAGCCCTCTGCCTCCCAGCCTCGCAGCCTGGGACAGCTCCCAGCTGCGGGCCACATTCAGGAAGCACAGGAGGGAGTTGGCCCCTCCCCTCCCACTTACCAACCGCAGGGACATTTCAGGATGCTTTGCTGACTTTGTCTTCCTTTAGCACCCTATCTGTGCCATTGGCCCATCTGGGCTTCCTCCTGGGAATGTCACGAACCTGACTATGTAACACTGGGAGTTCCCTAAATCCAGGCTCCCGTAGTTTGGGAAGGAGCCACAGCTGCAGGTGTGACACTATTAGTGAATGCCAGGCTGGGCTTGCATTGTGTGTCTGTCTGCCATCTGTCTCTTTCTCTTTAAAATATTTTTATTGTGGTAAAATATATATAGCATAGAATATGCCATTTTAAACTTATTTGAAATGTACAATTCAGTGACATTAATTATATTCATGCTGTTGTGCAACCATCACCACTGTTTCCAAAACATTTTCGTCACCCCAGAAACTCTGTAACCATTGAAACCGCTGAGTCCCTTTTAAGGTTTCCACTTTTTACAGTTCATGAAATTAAAGCAGCACAGGCAGTCTGGGGCAGTCAGACTTAAGTGTACATGTACTGAAGACAGTTCGAGTGAAAACCATGTTAAATTTCTGTAAGCGCCTCATCACATGACAGGACCTGGGCTGCGGTAGCACCTTGTGAATGATTTCCTAATAGCAGTGACCTTGCTAGTTGAAATCCCTCTCCAAACACCAGGTATTAATTTATCCTGCATGCAGCTTCTGGTCCCTGTGCCCGTCGCTGGAGTGCAGGCATTGTCTGAAGGGGCTCTGAGAGAACGTACACTGTGGAAGTGGTGGTAGGAGGGAGACAGTTACCAAACTGACAAATCCCATTGTAGGTTTGCAGGAGAGACTCTTGGGAGCATAGAGGAATGCACTTTGCAAAGCTGGGGTGTCAGGGAAGGCTACAGGAGTGACACCCATGCTAGTGAGACTTAACCGATGAGGAAGTAGAGGGCAGGTCAGAAGATCGGAGGAGGAGAGGACCTTCCAGGCCCAGGCCCGGGGAACAGGAAGTCCCCTGCCTTCAAAGCCATACCTTGCAGAACGAGTTAGTAGGCATACCTAGGCCTCCTCGTGTTGACGAGACTGGAGGAACTAGCCGGGGCCTGGATGAAGCTGGGGCTGCCTTTGCCCACACGTAAAAGACCAGAGCTTGTATTAAGCTCCTTTATGAAAAATGCCCTTGTCACTGTGTTTAGGTTCCTTGCATAGTGAGGAATGGAAAGTCACCAAGGCCACCTCAAGAAGAGTGGGGGCCGTTTAGGAGTGGGTCGCAGGAACTACAGAAGGGCAGGCCTGAGGGAAGCTGGAGGCGGAAGTTCATTCTGGACCCAAAGGAGCTCTGGGCCTTGGCAGCCACATAGTGGACCCGTGAGCATTCATGTAGTAATGGTGTCCCACCATTAATGCTACTCAGCTACTTCCTCTTTCTCAGGGTCTCGTCTTTTTCATTTCTCTTACTGCCACCAACTGGTTTTGTAGTCATTGGTTTTCGCTCTCTTGTTTTCCTTCCTCGACTTGTTTACCTCATAAGCTGTCATCACTTCTCCTGCTTCCCTCTACCTCACTGAACCTATCAGCTGTTGCTTCTGCTAATTGCATGCCTCGCTATTTCCCAGTCCCAAGAATGGAGATCTGGTAGTCTGCCCTTGGGTCCCACACACCCCTTCTCCAGTCAGCTGGGCCTGGGGACGAGCTGTCCAAGTTAGGAAGTTGCCTCCCTGGGGCTGTGGATGGACACCGTGACCAGTGTCTGGGCTGGACTGAGATCTGAGCTGATCTGTGTCCATGGTGCTGAGCCAGAATTGGAAAAATAACTCGAGGACCACTTCTCCCTGGAGACATCCCTGTGCTTTGGTCCTGGTGCTCCTTAAGGCACTGGGGGAGGATTTGGGGCCTCTGCCTAACGCCTCTTAAGGGTAGCCTAATGGAACATTTGGGGTCTGCTGTGTGGGACAACAGCAGGTTGATTCGGTTGCTTTTACCAAAGTGCTCTCAAAAGGTAGTAGTCCCACATTTTAGAAAGGCCCATGATCCATTCTAACTCTTAGAAGAGCACAGAGCTCTGTTTAACTGTAATTAAATTCCCCCGGGAACTATTGCCACATGGCTTCACTTACAGCCCTGCAACAGAAGAGTTTATCTTGTGCTGTTGAGGGATCTGCGTGTGTCCTCCAAGTTGAAGTTCAATCTAAGATGGGAGGCTGGGTGGAATGTTAAGTTGCAGAGCGGCTAGGCCACCAGGTAGCAGTGGGTGTCTTGGGGGAAGTGCGGGCATGTGGCTTCTGCCTGCCTTTGCCGCTTCCCCAGGAGGGAAGCATGAAAGTGTTAGTTTTGCTTACTGAGTGAGAAGGAAAAAGCATACTGTGAAGTTCCATTTGGCACATAGCTGATAATTTGAAATCCACTGGTGACACAGGAAAATTTTAAACAGCTTAGAACTGTCTAAAGAAAGCAACCCCACAGAGTGCGTTTCTCTTGCTGGCAACCGTTTGGGAATGAGCCGGTTCTAACTGCCCCTGAGAAAGTAAAGGTAACTGAACACGATGCATATCCCTACTTGTTATTTTGGGCCACTGGCTTCTGCCAACCCCGGTAAAACCGATGCTGGAGCTTAACAAGTTGCAGGGTCAGTTGTTTTGAAATTGATGTTGATGGATAGTTTACTGAGGAGCACCCCTCTTCTATAAGGGACAAGGGAAAATGTAGTGTAACTGCAGATCATCATCCAGTCCAGGGCCTCTGCTGTTACCCTAAATGTGTTGCTTTTGGATTTTTTGTACATGAAATTTATTTTTTGGTCCTATACTGATTGTTAAAAGTTTCCTACAAAGCTCTCTTCATAGATATTTGGGTTACTGTTGAAAACATTAAAAAAAATTGGTCCCGTGAACTTCCTACTTCATGGCAGTATATGATGAGTTCTCTGATATCTTTAAGAGAAAGCATGAATAAAGCCTAGCTTCCCACCTTTGACTTTCCACGGGAGTGTCTGGGAATGGGGAGGGAGAGCAGCAGTGATGGCTAAAGCTCTTCATTTTTATACTGAGTAACGTCAAACTAATTGAACTCAAAATGCCTGTGCAGGGGAGTTGGAATGCAATGGAAGCTTCCGTGTGTAGCGTTTGGCTTTACTAGTCAGTCATCAGTGTTTTCTGTATATTTTGTGTGCATTTACTGTTTTTGTTCTCGGTGCATGTTCCAGTTCATGGGGAGATTTCCTTTTGGACACCATTTCGGGGCTTGTATTTGACACCGCCAAGGAGGACATGGAGTTCCGAGCTGGCATCCCCCGGCAGCTGCTCCTGGTAAGGAGTAAAGGCGGGTGGGAGAGCAGTGGGACTCACGGCCTGGGCTAGCTGCAACCGTGGCCTACATCCGAGGGACCCCGGGGTCCTTCTCTGCTCCTGTGCTGGCCTGCTGAGCTGCATGGGTTGCAGATCAAATGGGTGCTGCACGTTATGTGTGACCCAAAGAACCGAGACACTGTAGGAATACTGGCTGCATACATGGTTGATTCAATAATGTGGCTAGGAGACCTGGAGACCAGTACCCACGAGACTCCTAGCTAGCAGAGGCCTGCTGGAGATCCCGGCCTGCGTGTATTCCCTGGCTTTCTTGTCCTGGTTTTACATTTGAAACAGCTGCACTCTTTGGCTAGCTTGAGATGCGTGAATTCGTGCTGAGTTGAGCAAAGGCTGCCTTCACTGTCTGAAGCAGTCACCTTAGGACAGTGACCTACTTTCCAAAAGGCAAGAGCCAAAGACTGGACATTTCCAGAGAATCCCTTTCCAGGCAAAATCCTGAAAACTGCCTTTTTTTTTTTTTTTTTGTAAACAGTAGGCAGCTTAAGATGAGCAGTGGTTACAAAGAAATAATGGGATGTTATTCGTAAGCTATCTGCCACCCCCTCTATGGATCTGCGTCTACACTGGGGGGTGGTGCTCAGCGGACTACTGAGGAGACAGACCCAGGCAGTGAGTTCTGCTGGAGTCTGGCCAGGACTCACCTCTGTTTCTAGCAGGTGGAAACCACAGCTGCTGCGACAAGAAGATTATGTGGCTTTCTGAGGAAGCTCGCGAACCGGCTGGAAGGCACCAACGCACTGCTTTCAGCAGACATGAAGAAGGATTTTGTTATGAACAGACTCCCACCTTACTATGTGGGAGATGGAGCAGAGCTTTCAACACCAGGTGGAGTGGCTGTTTCCTTCTAGGTGGTTGGGGGCTAACGTGGGATATTTGGAGGCTTTCCTAGGTGGGCACCTCTTTGAGCGGACAGAATGTTGAAGCATTTTAGTTACCGTGCTCCATCTGTCTCTGGTGTGACAGTTGGACAGCACGCGCTGCACACAACCATTAGTGTTCTGCATCTCACGGGTCATCTGCAAAGCCCATGCCAACATGACGGGGAGTGAGAGCCCTGTGATTTGGGGTGAGAAATGTGTGTATTTATAGGTACGCTGGTATTCATCACCTTCAGAAAGTTTTAACAACTTGAACATTGAAATAATTGGAATTAACTCAGAGATGAGTAAAATGTTGTCATCAGCAGGTGAAATACAAGAGTGCCCAAGGTTGTCACCGACTTTCCCCAAGTCCCAGGTGACTATTTTGTGACAGGTTTAGGCTGCAAATGACATAACACACTTGTGGGTGGCTGGGTGATTTCTCTGTCCTGTAGCAACACCATACGCCTGTAGTTGGACAAAATCGGGTTTAGCATTACAATATGGAAGACTGCATGGCATTGGGAACGGGAGACGTCTCAGTAAAAGGATTTATAGGACCTGGGTTTGAGTTGAGTGATTCGCAGAGGGTCGAGGAAGTAGAGCTTTGCTCTGGGTTGGATGCTGTCAGGAAGGAGGGATTCTATGCCTGGGTCTCCTTTGCACCTTATCTATTGGGTTGTCGGAAAAGTCATGACGCATTTTTGCAACGAAAAACAGAAAAAATACATCATGACTTTTCCGACAACCCAATAGTAGCAGGAGGAATGAAATGAGGCTGAAGTTACAACTGGTAAAGCGGCAGCAGTCACTCAGATTAGCCCAGGTAGGGGGCTGTGGGGTCACTTCTGTAGCTTGGATGGTGTTCTTTCCCTGACTTCTGACATGTTTATGGAGTACACTTGTTTTTGTCTCAATCTCTCATAGTCAAGAGTGGCCTTGTATATATTGGTGTTCTGCGAAATTGTCCGATATTCCGCAGGAGAGCCTGAGACACAGCTCCGAGTGCCAGGCCCTTTCAGGCCGCACTTCTTTTTCGCAGTCGGCTTGAGTGAAAGCATTATTTTTACTAACCTTTACAAAAGGTTTGTTTATTGCCAGCTGAGAACCACTAAAATAAAGGTCCCTTCTAACATTGATTCTATTTATATTTTTATTATATTTTGGGGGGGAAGTTTAGGATTTGTTACTGATTGCATTTACTCAAAATAGTAAATGTTCTACCAGCACCTATTTTAATCTTTAACAGAAAAGTTTTTGGGCTAATGGCCCAAGATACTCATCTAACGTTTTCCTTGTCTTAGCCTTTATAGTCAATAAAGCTGTGATCCCTTAAGACTCTCCAACCCGATGACCCTGTAAGGCTAGTCTGTCTGTAGTGGCTGCTTTTACACTCAGTTAAATTCAATTTGGAATTTTTTTTTTCCTGGGAACTTTTACTAGGTGGCTTTTATGACACTGGATCATTTTCCATTGTCACACAACTAATAATTGGTGGGGTGGTGCAGTTTGGACTTAGGTATTCCTTCCAGAGTCTACATGTAGAGCCAGAAGCAACAGAGGATAGAAACTGGGGACAGAAGTGTCCTGTGCAGGACAGGGGCCCCGTCTGTGTTGTGACAGCTGCCGGGCTTTGGAGGTGTTGTCTGTTTAATGTACTTATCAACTCCGGTCGTTACCTATCTAAGCGTCAGTCTGTCTTCACGATGAGAATGGGCTCTGTAAGGATGTAAACCATACCTGAATATTAATCACAAGTACCTGAGCTGGAGAGGGCAGCCCATGTTTGGATCCACTGCATATTGTTAGTCAATGTGGTTCTTAAATAGCTGCACCTGCAAACTGTTTGAGAACTGCTGGCATCCTCATTTGAAAACTGGCTTTCCCTGTGGGTTTTCTAGGTGGACAGTTGCCGAGGTTGGACAGCGTAGTGAGGCTGCAGTTTAAAGATCACGTCGTCCTCACGGTGGGGCCAGATCAGAGTCGCTCTGTGAGTATCAGAGGGGAGGAGGCTTCCTGTCTTCTCTGGGCATTTCCACTCGGATCTCAGGTTATCAGACCAACAGATGGCCCCCTCCCTTCTCCTCTGGGAATCCCTCTGTTCGCACTTAGTGCTGTTGCGTTCTTCGAGCAGGTAATGCCCGGACCTCACTGTTCCTGCCCGTTGGGCATTGAAGGCTCTCTGCTTTCCTCCCGTGTGGTGGCTAGTGTCTGGTCTTGGCCTCTGCCCTGATTCGGGCCATTATGCCTCAGATACCTGCAGGCCGTTTGTGAGCCTCCCTGTCTCAGTCCCTCCCCAGCATCCTGTCCAGTGTGCAGCTCTCTTTACATATGGTTTTGTTGATGTTTCTTCTTTAAAAAAAAATTATCTGTCCTGTAGAAGGATAATCTACATTCCATAACCTTGCCATCTAACCCAGTGGTTCCCCAGACTGGCTGATCGTAGAATCAGCTGGAAAACTTTGAGATTATAAATTTCTGGGCTTCATCTGGTCTGGGTTGGAGCCTCTGCATTTCTTAGTAAACCTTTATTGTCCTAAGGACCTTGGGAACGGTCCCATGCCCTGTGGCTTTACCCTGTTCCTCCTAATCAGCTCCTGTAGGAGGAGACCCCATGAATGATTGTGGGGGATGAGAGTCAGGGGCCACTAGATGTGTCCAAAACCAGGTTGTTGCAGCCATCAGGGCCAGACCTGGCGAGGACTGGTTTCTAATATATACACAACCCCAAAAGTACACATCTTCATTTAAAAAAAAAAAAATCCTAGTTACTCTGATAACCAATCAGTTTTGCGACTATGTTATCAGGCCAAGGTGTTTGACCCTTATTAAGAGGTGACACGAATGACTAAAGGTTCTGGAAGAGACCAGCTGCTCTGTGTAGGAGGGAAAGTGGAGACCATCTGGGAGGCTACTGTAATTGGAATGGAAATTTTTATAGATCACATGGCTGGTATTTCTCAAGAGGTGATATTCACTCCATGGTGTTGATAAATTGTCAATTTGTGTATATCTACGAATGTCAAGTTTTGATGCAAACAAGTGCAGATGTGATTAAAAGAAGAAACTCAAGTGTTTCGTTGATGAGCTGATATACAAATGGTTGCTTTTTAATTAAATCAAGTTTCTGAAGATATAGCAGGTGTATTGTTTTATCTTAAAAGATGATTAACAGTGCCTGTTATTTGTTCTATAGCAATAATAATCTGTGAGAACTGTATAATAAAATATATAACTTTTTGCCAAAAGGATTCTTTATTCAATAAATTTCACTTAAGTGCCAAGGCTTTAAGATTTTTCTTGACCTATACTATTGGAAAATCCTCCTAGTATTGAAGCACTTGATATTGTTGTTGATGATTTAATGCTTTTTTCTTTAAAGGATGAAACTCAAGAAAAGATGGTTTACGTCTATCATTCTTTAAAGAACAGGAGAGAGATACACATGATGGGAAATGAGGAAACAGAGGTTTGTTGGTGTGACGTGTGACTTGGTGGTGGTTGGGAAGAACCTGTGGTCTTTGGTTTATGGGTAATGTGCTTTTCCATGCCTGCAGTGTGGGCTTAACATTTCATACAATTGGCAGCCCTTGCACGAAGGTGATTAAGCCAGACAGTTCTGTGATACACACAGACCAGTTTTAAAAGATACTAGTTGGAACATGCAAGAAAGGTATAATGTAAAACATTTAAATTTAGGATGCCTTCCATAAAGTCTAGGTTTTCAAAGTTACCTAATTATAGTTTCCGTAAATAGGCTATTTGAAACAAGTTTCCTACTTGTGAAGGGTATCAAAAAGTGATATATTAAGAATTTCAGAAGTTTATATGAAAATGCCACTAAAAGACATAAATAATATTTTATCTGACTAGTTTTTCCTTTTTCAGTGTCACGGACTTCGCTTTCCTTTATCTCATGTGGATGCACTGAAGCAAATTTGGAACAGCTCAGCTATTTCTGTCAAGGACCTGAAACTTCCCACAGATGAGGAAAAGGAAAGCCTCGTATTATCCCTCTGGACAGAATGTTTAATTCAGGTAGTCTAGTGCCTTTACAGGATCAAGTGCCTATTCTTTTATACACACACACACACACACAAAGCAAGGATTTATGTGCTAGGGAGCCCCTGGGGCTCCGAGTCAAGACTGGGTAGGAGGACCGGTTCTACACAACTTTCCTTCCGTGTGTGAGACCGACCTGTTACAGGTGGGCAGTAGGCCGTATGTACTAACAGAGAGGCACGTGGAAGAATGGCAAAGTAATGTGTCCCAGGAAGTGACAAAACCGTACTTTTGACAAGTTTATTTAATCCAGTGTGGTAGAAAAGGCACAACTACAATAAATGTATCATTTAAATTTAAATGTCGTTACCTGGCTTTGTCTTTGGAAGAAACTTCTTTAAAGAGCCTCATTGGCTCTAGAAAAATTTTAATGAACATGAAAAAAGAATTGTTTTTTTTTTTTTTTACAATGGAAATACACATACTTTTGTGTATACATAAGCCCTCCCTTTAAAATAAAGTTACTCCTAAGTTTCATTAAATAATACTGCCACACTAATGAGAGGCACTCAAATCTCTGGGCGTAAGGGAGTTTTACAAATGATTCATGAAAGATGACACAAGAGCCTGAGATAGAAGGAAAAAGAAAACCCAATAGTATTTACATGGAAAGACCATGCCTATATAAAAAATACTCAAAATAGTTGGTCTTTGAGCTTAAACAAGTCACTGTTATTTTACATTCTAAAGTGCATATAGATTGATATTTTTTAAAATACCACTGGACAAATTAATCTTTCTATATAAAAATAGGATACACATTTTTCTGCTTTCTGGCAAAAGTTGAGGATAAAAAAAATAGTTGTATCAATGTAAGCATAAAACCAGCTCAGGAGGGAAAAATGCTTGTGAATTGTATAGTTAAAGGTGGTAATGATTAGGTGAAATTAAGTGCAAGATGACATCCTACCTGATTTTGCTCAAAAGAAAGCTATTTAAAATGGAAGTGAAAGTGATTTTTCTGTCATTTCACAGAGAAATCAACTCCACCTTTACTTAAAATGGTCCAGTCAAGGCTCAACTTCTACTTGGTTTTAATTTGAACATTTGAAATTTCCTTTTACTTCAGGCAAAGAAAAATCTGACTATCTTATATGTAAGTGACACAGTCTTTATAAACACTTTTTGAGGGCAGACCGGGCAAAAACTCTAGGGTGAAGTCTCAGCACCAGGATAGGTAAACATTGGTTAGAGTCCTACTGCCCAGAAGGGTTCTCTGTTAATACCTAAGAGTGCAAGGAAGGCCACAGGTTATTTGTGCTTTTTCAGTTTGAAAGACTGAGCAAAGAATGGCCACAGGAAACACTCTTAGTACTTGAGCCTTTTCCTAATAAAACTGAGGTCCCTCCCTGGGATCAGTTGTAAGTATGAATACTTACAGGTTTTCAGTTATAAAAGCCTTTGTTTAGCTAATACAGCAGCTTAAGAAGAAGGCTTATTAAATATGTCTTCAAATATTGTTAAAAAATTACTCATCTTTTTGCAGAAGTATGACTTGACCTATAAGAATTTACTTCCCTGTGCCTTGCACGCATACATGCATCTACTAGGATATTAATAACTGATGCAGGATGCCAGCACCACCAGTGTCCTATGTAATGGCTATCAGGAACAGGTAGAGAGAAAACACACAGCAGTCAACTTGCTCACCCAAAGTGGAGATCAAGCAGGAGCAGAACCTTTCCCAGAAGTCATGACCTAGTCTTGCTAGGAACACTGACTAGCCGGCGAGAATGTTCTGAGCTTCCCCCAAGGTTAACAGCAACAGTCTTCTCTTGGGAGGAAGTTCACTGTCAGCGATCCAGGACGTGAGGTTCCTCTTCCCTTCGCCCTTCCTAGAGATGCGGCAGCTTCTCTCACAATACCTCAATTTCCCATTTCTGGGTTTCTTCTCCCTCCAGGGGCTGATTTACAATTACATGAGTCTTGTCATAATAATTTCCTCCTAAAGTAGAAAGAAATTCCAAAGAAAAAAAATGAATTTGTTTGGACAGGTGCTTAACAGTTTCCACAAGGTGTTGTTCAGCCCACTGGGAAGATTAATATGTCATTTACAAAGTGGTCTGAAATGGGAAAGGAAACTGAGTTTAAACAGGCTTAGAGCTGTTATCCACCTCAAGTCGGACCTTATTATTATGACTCAAAATTGAAAAGCTAAGAGGTGTCACAGATGACTGCATACACAGAGTGCCCTAACAATGAGGCTGAAGAACAAAGTACTCAGCTCGGGCGGAATGGCAGGTACTGCGTTTTGTTTCCGCACTAACAGTGGCTCTGACTAACCCAATTAGAGCAACATCTCTAGAGTAACGCTGGCCCTGACGGTGCTACATTCAAACACAAGGGTAAGTACCTACCAAAAGTTTTAACTGTAGGCTTTTAAGGACTACAGCAATTCATGGCAAAAAGTCAGATGTTTCTGAGAAACAGATGCATTTTATAGTTTGATGTTCAAATTTAAAATTGTTCTCCAAGATCATGGAGCAAATAAAAATTTTACAACTGTACTAATGAACAAAAACCTTAAGACTTTGTCCTTAGTTGTTTTTTTTTTCTGCTTGATCCACACAGGTAATTGTTTTGTGTGTTAGAACAGCATGTCTTAACTTCTTTCAAGCATAATTTAAAATGCCTTAATACTTCTCTTATACATACGGATGTGTGTTACTCAGGAGGGAAGAGGCTTGCAACTTAAAATGGTCTCCAGAAACACAGCACGCTGGGTTTCATCACAGGCCCACCTTTAACATCAAGGACAAGTTGGTCACTGAGATAGGAGCTGATGGTTCCGTTTCTGTTCAGTCTCCACTTCTGCCGGAACTGCCCATGTTCAGGCCACAGGGCTACTTTAGCTCCGGGCATGTCCCGGCCACCAATTACATCAAGGCACGTATCACTGGCCTACAAGGGTGAAGAAATACATCGGTAGTACTGTGTTTGCTAAGACAAATGGAATTGGGTCCCTTTTCTTTCATGAGAACAAATCACAGACATTACGTGACTACGTCTTATCTGAAAAGAATACTATTCAGCATAATTATCACTTCAGTAAGCTTTTTTTTTTTTTTTAATGGTTGAGAGGAGGAAATGGTACAGAAATAAACCTGAAATAGAGGTACTTGTTTTAAAAAGGACACCTACATCTGACAACAGATGACAACAGATGTTCAATAAATGTTTGCTGAATTGGAATTAAATGTTAACTCCCTGTTAGCTTAAGTGTATTAGGTTGAGCTTGGTTTTCTTATAAAAACAGGGCGATGTGCTAGATATCCAACAATAATTACTTTTAAATGCTTTTCATTTTTGTTGAAACATGAGAACAAAGCAGGTAAATCTACTGGTGAGACAGTAAAACACAGTTGTAATGTTTTTAAACTGGTATTCTATTCTCCATAGCATCAAACATAATGGAGGGGTCACAGAAAAACAGAAATCTACGTTTTATCTTCTAGGCTTTCTCCAACAGCTGCTTGTTCTACTATTTCACTGTGTATTTTGAAAATGAGGAGGTTGCACCACATTTACAATAACAAGGATAGCTGATTTTATCTGGGCTGTAAAGGAACTTCTCACCAAAAAAAGCACACTGTTTAATTTGGATCCAGGTGACTTTTGTCATTGGTTTGAAAAAAATCATTTTGGCATATCCATAGTATGGGATCACCTTAGTTTTGACTTCAAACGAGAAAATGGATATTCTAGATCAGCGGTTCTCAACCTTTCTAATGCCGCGACCCCTTAATACAGTTCCTCATGTTGTGGTGACACCCAACCGTAAAATTATTTTTGTTGCTACTCTATAACTGTAATTTTGCTACTGTTATGAATCATAATGTAAATATCTTTTTGTTTTCCGATGGTCTTAGGTGACCCCTGTGAAAGGGTCGTTCGACTCCTAAAGGGGTCGCGACCCACAGGTTGAGAACCGCTGATCTAGATAAAAAAATTCTCTAAGCCCAGTTCACTTAAATGCTTTAGTGGTATACATACCAGTATTTATATAATCATGCAACAAACTGTTCCTAGGAAGTTGCATTATTTTATCATGCCATTTGACTTGGCAAGATTCTAGTTTCCAAAATAAAAAGCCCAAAACCAAACGGGGGGTATGGTGTGAGTCACCTTAGATTTGAAGAGTCCTCGACAGTAGTGCCAGATCTGCGTATTCTTCCCACTGTAGGGAGACACGCATACAGATGTTGCCCTTGTGTCAGCGACGTTCCCAGTGACTGTCAGGTACTCGTTCTGCGCTCGGTTCCTGATTCTAATGTACACTGCAGGCTATGAGGGGAGAAACAGAGGTTTAGGGAAAACACCTTTTGAATCTGGAAATCAGTCCTCCCAAAGAGGGAAAGCTTGGAGGAGAAGTGAGAGCTGACGGAATTCCCTTTCTATCAATTTCAGTCTTACTCCCTTTAGAAAAAATGCATTAATTAATGGACAAATCCTTAGACCACTGGGCATGAAGCATAAACTGTACAATCTCTCTTATACGTTCCTGGAAGATGTCCTTTGGACAAGTAAATGTAGTACTTTCATTCACTAGAACTCCAGGTGCCACGGGGTGGTGAAGAATTAGGGAATTGATGGTTTAATTCAATAACTCCGCTGCCCTGGCTGTGCTTGGGGAGGCAGGGGAGTAGGACTGAGGGCAGGGTACCACCTGCAAGCATCTACGAGCAACTTAGCAAAGACCGTACAGTAATGAGACATACAGTCCTGAGCTGTGACTAAGGGCCGGATGGCTGCTACGGCAGGTCTGAAAAGAGCCAGGTAGCTGAGGGGCCTAGTTGCTGTGGTAATCTGTTTACAGTTATCCTTTGTTGACCTTTATACTTAAAAGGAAGAGACCTTGCTTTAGTTAATGTTTATTAACTTCTTAGATATTCAAAAACTGGGTAACTTCATCCCCTGGACCTGGACTATATATGGGAAGTTTTAAAATAGTAAAACCTAAGGCTTCTCTCTAAGGATCATACCTAGTATTTATCAAGGGCTTAGTATATGTCAAACAGTGTGCTAAATGCTTTCTGGGCCATTGCATTACCTGCCAGATTTAATAACCAGAACAACCCTTTAAGAAAGTATAATTATGACCCCACTTTTATGAGGCTAACACAGATGTGGAGAAACAAAGTCTGTCTGCACCAGAAACCCTCCCACTTACCCAGAATGCTCTAAGGCGGGGGCTGAAATGCATTCACTCCTCTTTGACATGGAATAAGAGCAGTTCCAAAGGTGCCAGTGTGAGTTACATAAGATGATGAAAGGCTAGCACCTGACTGAAGCGCCACAGAAACTGTTCTCAGCCCCGTGACTTACACCTCCAGTCTTAATGTAATAAAACACAGGATGCCCAACACCCCTACCTTGGGTCCGGGGTTGGCATCCCAATGGAAACCTTGCTAGATAGTGAAAATGGTCAGTTGTTTAATAAGGGAGCACTCTCACTCTGAGAAACACAAGTGCTCGGTAAATTTAACAAGGTATCAGGGTAAGACTAACTGTGACAATTCTACAATTTTGAAGCTTAGATCAACATGAGGCCAGTTGGACTTTGGTAAATTGCTGCCATGTTTAGCCTTCCTAAGGAAATAAACATTCCGAGCACTTACGCCATTTAAATGGACAAATGTTTATCTGATCATTTAAAGCATGTGAAGAAGACCTCTGCTTGGCAAAAAGTTTGAAATATTTCAAACCACAATGTCCACGCTTATAATGCAACAGTAATGCACTTAAATTTTTATAACTCAGCCTGGTCTCCCACTGCAGTTATTAATTCTGGAGGCTTCAGTGTATCTTTATTAGTTTCCTTACCTTGTACATGTAAGAAAACGGGCGTGACCTTCACAGAGGACAGAGTTCCAATTATGTAAGGTAAAAACATCGCAGTTTTAATCAATTAACTCAAGCGAGGTACTAATTTCCCTTATTACACATTTGTAGTCTGACTCCTCTGTAATTATACTTAAAACACTGATATGCATTATAAGTGGCTTAGTGACTTACTAATTCCCAATGTCAAAGAGGATCACGTTTTAATTATTTAAATGAATTTCTAGACAAAAATATGAACTAAAGCAGCAGCAATAACTTTACCAAAAAGGAAATATGACCTATAATACTGTTTTAGAAACCCAAATTCCTTTGCTGGGTTTCAAAGCTGTGGCCTTAAATAAACAATAGAGAAAATAATCTCTGTTAAAATATTATTTTGAAATTAAATGTTTAACCAGAATAGGAACCAAGTAGTTTCTAAAGCACAAATGCAAGAATAACAACACAGATAATGTGAACTGTCAAAAAAACTTCTATGTAAAATTTGTGGCTCTTCTAGCTATTAATATCTTTCATTCTCAGGACCCTGAATAATGGGGCAGGGACATCCTTCCCCAGCAAGAAATCACATTTTAAAAGTGAGAAATATATTCTCCACATCTAACTTCTAAAGTTTCTAAAAGCATAGCATTAAGCATGATTATATATTGGGTTGTTGGAAAAGTCATGACGCATTTTTGCAACAAAAAACAGAAAAAATACGTCATGACTTTTCCAACAACCCAACAGTTGGTAAAAGTTACACGGAATTCCCACTTCTGCCTTGCTTTTTCCCATGGCTTTGCAGTGGGATTATCCATCATCCCTTGTGACAGGAGTGAGGAATAAGCAAGATGTGAAGGTCATGGAATCCTGTACCACACACTCTGCCAGGAACGCCCACTAATGTTTAGTAACCCTCAGAAGAGCATCTCTGATTCTCTCCAGGGACACTGTCAATAATAAACTTTCGGAATAAATGTGTTGCCATAGTAATACGAGCCGGATGTTGTGCCAGGCTCTTTACATACACTGTCTATTTAATCCTGACAAGGACACCTAGAGGTACACGATACGGACACTGTCTCACCAGTGAGCTGAAATCCGAAGTGCCAGGAAATGAAGTGACTCACCCAAAGTCACACTGCTTACAAGTGGCAGAGCTAGGATTTGAAGCAACAAAAACGGTGGGAATGAGCGGGGGGGTGAGAGAGAGAGAGAGAGAGAAGGGGGCAGGCAGCAAGACCAGTTAGGTTCCTTTTTTATCGGCTATCATCTACTTAACATTTAATATGTCAGATCTGAACATCAGAGCCTCAGCACTTACATCAGCTATGCCACAGGGAGCTTGGTGTCTGGAACATTCTGAAGGTGGCATTCTGAAAATACTGATCTTATTTTGGAGGAAAGTAGGGTGTGGTTGCTTAAGAACACAAATTTTAGAGCACGATAGGTTCGGGTTCAAATCCTGCTTCTGACACTTAGATGACTTGCCAATTTGCTTTACTTCTCTGAGCCTATTTTTTCATCTACGAAATGGAATAATAACACCCACTTTAAAGGACTATTGTTGGAATCAAGTGAGAAACAGTTCCTAAAGGTACTGGAGAGCAGTCCAAATGGCATCCATTGAACACTGCACCCGACAGCCTAGCGTGGGCTTCCCACGCGCTGACGCCTCCCACCATTTCCACACATGTTTCTACTTCTTTTCTCTGAACCAGGCGTTGCCTGTGGCTTTTTGATGATTACACATTGTTTTGCATTTGATATTTCTATTTTGAGTTGGATATTCTACCCCAAAATGTCAGCACCAATAAAGCAGACATCATGTCTGTCCTTATACCTTCCATAATTCTTTGCATAAGGTCAGACATTCATTTATCAATTTTTACTTTCCTTCCTTCCTTAAACAAATAGTCCCTGAGCTCCTGTGATGCACCAGACATTTTGACAGGCATTGGGGGTAGAGCAGTAAGCAAAATATACACAGCCCCTGCCAGCACAGGGCTTGCCACAGAGTGAGAAAGCACCTCATCCAACTATAACTATAAGGTTACAAACCACATGCAGTGTCTTGCAGAAAAAGAACCAGGTCTTTTTGGATCTAACTTAGATTGGGAACGAGGGTGAAAGAGGCATCCTTGAGGACCTGAGACATCATACGCTGGATTTAGAGAGATGCATAAGAACTAGCCAGGCAAAGAAAGGGGAGAACCTTCTAGACAGAGGGCACAGCCTGTGTTGAGAGCCTGAGTGGGAAAGCACTCTGCATATTGGCGCATGTGAGGCAGCCATGTGAGTGAGGAGGAGATGGGGGTGTGGTGGGGGGTAGATGAGGCTGGAGAAGCAATGGGGGGCCAAGTCCCACAGGCCGCGCTGCAAGAGCTCAGATGGAATCCTAAGTGCAGTGGGAAGCGTTTGAACAGAAGACTGACAAGCAGTAGGTGTGCAGTAAGTACAATTTGAACTAAATTGCCAGGACCCATCCTGAGTATTATGTAAGTAGGGGGAAAAATCCAAATACTTAGAAAATAAAACTATAGCAGTCTTAGAGTCCGCTCTTGTTTCTATTGCTTGCCAGAGCTTATGATACCTTAATTTTCCATGGAAAGTGAACATGGTCAATAAGATTTTGGGCTTAAGGCTAAAAATAAAAAATCCAACATTGACCTTAGACACAATTGTATGAATTGATTAAAATCTACAATATTTCCCATCCTAATCCACTCCCTCTGGTATAAAAATGGCAAACTAAGTGACATGGTCGTTATTTCAGATGCTGTGGTTCATGACATTCTTACTAGAAAATCGAGCTATTTTGGATCCTGTGGTTCTTCTTACCTGCTTCATAGGACGGAGGGAACCAATTGTTTTCCATCCACTGAATGCTGTCCAATTCGGGATCTCATTGGGCTCAAGTAGGATTTGCCTCCCCAAGAAATTGGATCCTTCGTAAGCTATCCACCTATATGAGGGTAGGAAAAAAAACAAAAAAAAAAGGGGTATTTCCAAACAAAAGACAATCCTTATACCACACAGGTTCATTCTTCAAAACATCTAGGTTTGTAGATTTCTTTTAAAGAAAAAAGTACGTAATTCTATTTTTAACAGAAGAAGCGGGGATGACTAGGAGAAAGCCCATTGGCCTGGGGCTCAGAAGACTGAAATTCCAGTTAGGATTCTGGTCTCCTTACTTCCAAACCAAGCTTCCCCCTACTCTAAAATTCTGTGTTCCTTTGGTAATATTAAGTCATTTTTCATTACAATTTCATATTAAAAGATAGGCTGTAACCTCTTAGTACTACCCAGTTAAAAGACACTAGTTCCCTCTTCCACTCGTATGCTCGTCATCACGTCTCCTTCAGGGCCACTCCAGGCCGCTCCAGTGACCCCTCCAGACATGCTTTCCACGGCTTCTCTAAGGCCCCCAAGAACGACTTAAGGTCATCCATTGAAATCCTGTCTCACCTTTCCCAAGGCCTGGCTCCCTTGCAAATCCTTCTCAGTACCCTGGGGGCCTTCCCCTCGGGCCACGTTCAAGTGTGTGCAAGTGTACAGAGCTTCGAGGCAAGTGTCTGGAGTCTCAAGACTTAGTGAAGGGGTCACAGTCACGCCTCTGCCTTTATGGATTAACACTGGTTGCTTTTCCACTACAATGACAAATTCAATAGTTTTTGAACTTGTGGGTCATGACAGACATGACCCACAAACTGGAAAGACCATCCCGCCCCTTACAGGAAAAGTCTGCAAAGCCCTGTTTTAAGCTGGACGGGTAAGGAGAGTAAGCAGGAGTCGCCAAGAGGATCTGAAATTCTCAGCAGGACTCAAGGTCCCCTCAAATAGCACTTTCAGAAAGTGTGTAGAGGACGAGGCAGCTGCTTTGCTTGGTTCACACAAAGCACTCCTGTTGCCCACACCTGAGACCAGGCTTGGCCACATTATGGGTGTATGAACAGCATGCCCGTGGAAAGACTTATACCTCTCTAGCTTTGCGGATTCTTTAAATAGGTGGGCAAGTTTCCATTATAAAATCTAGGAAAGGTTTTAATAAGCTGTACCTTGTTATAAATTAACCCAAATGAACTGCACAGCTGAAAAGCTGTGTGGGGCGGTGCACTAAAGCAAGGCCCTCATTACCATCACGGATCAGAGACATGGAATGATACAGGGATTAAATAAAACTTTTTCACTGAGGGTAGAGCTGGCTGTGCATTAAGTAGTATTCTATACACCAACTGTAGTGTAGAAAAACCTCAGACAGCCTTCACTATTCCTTACCCTCTGTACCAATTCTCTTACAGAGAGTCCAGAACAGTGAGAATAGTTGAATAATAAAGAAAAGAAGTAAGAAAGTCAAGGTAAAGTGGCACCAGCTTTCTACAAGAGCGAAATACGATGGTGAGAAGTTTTCAGAGACAAGTCAATAAATATCAATTCCATTTAGGAATATAAAACAAAGAAACGTATGAAAATGCTGTGAAAGTCTTATATCACAGGGACATGAAATTCAAACAGTTAAGTGGTAAATAATATACTGGAATATAATATGGGGATTATTATCCTTAGAGGAAATCAAATTACGCTTAATAAACACCAAACGATGTGAAATGCTTTGCAGAAAGAAACTTAAACTTCTATATATGTGAATAATATGAATACCATTTATTATAATAGTTGATTTAATTTTCAAGTGAATTTATATTCTTGGCTTTCTCTTTCATTATTCCCAGATATTTAAACATTCAGAGTTGATTATCACAGAATTTGAGAGTTCTAAGAAATAAAACCAGGCATCTTTATGTTAATCATCGAGAGCTACGTGTGTTCTTTCATTGACTTTTGGTACCAACACACCAACAGTGCAGGGAGAGGCACAGGCTGACATGCCCCCCTCGAGAAATGGCTTGAGAGGCAGATTTTTCAGGAAGCAAATTTAGCTTCAGCTTCAGGGCCCTTCATTTGCAACGCCTCTTACCACTTTTGTTCTAAATAAACATGCAAAGTTCATGCCTAATTTATGTGTCCTTAATTTATTTATTTCTTTTCTTAAAGTAGCCTCCCCAGATTGTAAAAAAAGTGTAGGCTCCACACAACATGGATACCCCCTGACTGGCAACCTGAAGACCACTGCTTGGCAGGCCTGAGGTCACACCGAGATACAGCACGAAAATGAGTACCCTGGAGCAAATAGCTCTAGAACAAACAAAGAGTCAAATCAAAGTACAGCAAAACACTACTGGTCTTACAGTCACTTGTCTTAACCAGTCAATAGGCTCAACCAAAGTTGCTGATTTCATTAGATTTCTGGAAAGAAAGTGGGTTCAACTGGTTACTGTCATCTGATCGACTGACTCGATGACACATGCACTGAACATGGGGCAGCAGTTCTCTCCCAAAGGGCTCTTCCCCCCAAACCACTGCAAACTACTACATACTGGACGTGATCCACCGTCTTCTCTTAAACAGAAACTACTATTATACTGAGAGATAAAAGTTGTAAGAGCACCACCAGATCAAAAAACAACAGCAATAGGGGGGATTAAAAAGCAACTTTGCAACTCTGTCCTAAAATAGGGACTGGACCAGTGCAAGCCTTTCTCCATACTTACAGTCCACTTTTTACCCACACAGACTGGGTGTAGAAGTGCAGGTCCTTGTTCAGAACAGAGTTCACGGCCTCTTCTAGATGTAACTCTCTTCCCTCACAATGTTCCAGAGCAAAAAGGCTGACAGAGGGCTCTTCAAAAACCTAACAACACAAGAAAGAGAAAGCATCACCATACAGGGTGGCCACTCCTTAGTGACGTCCCAGTTAGAATGCAGGCGGTACCCTTGATCCACTGTATTCTCAAACACACATATAATAGTTTTCTGCTCTATCCTCTAGAAGATGTTATAGTCAAAACTGCAGTGGCAAGATTACAGTCTATTAATTTTTGTTCAGCTTTCTGTCAATTAAAACTGAAATATTGGAAAAATAATCTTAATCTCATAATAAAAACAGACACCTGGTTCCAATCACATGTTAAGGGCTAGTTGTGCTAACACGGACCACATTTTCATCCTGCTAATGCTTTTAGCTGGCAACAGAATAAACACGGAATGGAACGGCACCCTCATTTCCCAGGAGGCCACACAAGCAGTCGCTGAGAATGCAGACTTGATGGCTCTAGGCTCTTATAAACTTTCCCAGGAGACAGAAAAAGGCATTTTGAATTTAACAATAAGCCAGAATGCACAAGGACGGGTGATTCCTGCATTCAAAGTTATTCCCCCAAACCTTCATGTCAGAAAAGAATCGAATCAATATCGCTCTTTCATTCGTTAGTATATGCAAGACACCATGCTAGGAGGCTTTTGGGGGATGAGAACTCAAAACAGGCCACCATTCTTGTGTTTGAAGCATGCTAACTAGTAGCTAAATTAGGAGAATTGCAGATATTATAACGTAATCCAGGGTAGACAAGGACAGGCCCTGTGAGAGTCCTCAGTGGAAGGACAGATTATTTTTAGCAGAAAAGAGCAGGAATCAAGGAAGTTTCGTGGATGTGGTAGCATGTGAGCAATGGATTTGGACGGGCCAAGAGAGAAGGAGGGAAGGCACTCTGTGCAAAGGAAGGGGGACAGCAAGAATAATAGACCCATTCAGCTGGACTCGAGTCCAACAGGAAACAGTGTCAAGCGCTCCGACAGTTGGCTACTGTGTATGGAGTTGCCTGCTGCTTCTCCGACACTGACAGGAAGAGACGGATTCACTGCCAGGGGGAAGTCCTTGAAGGCTTTTGGACTGGTGACTGGGCTGGGCTGAGGTACTGTAACTTGGTGCATGAGGAGCAGAGCACTAGCAGCAGGGACTGTGGATGGTCAATGCACGGCCATCAAACAGTCACACAGCTGACTCACAGCTGACCTGCAGGTCACATGAGAGACAGCAAAATGAATTTTGAAAGCATTGTTCTTTGCAGCAGTGTCTGGAATAGCGAAGGATGGAGCATGACTTAAATGTCCATCAAGAGGGACTGACTAAGTAAATTAGGGTACATTCACACAGGAATTTTTTACAGCTGTAAAAAAGAACAAAGAGATCTTTATGAAAGGTATTTAAGATACATTCTTCACCAAGTGTAGAACAGCATACCTCCTACGCTACCAAGACGAAAAGAAGGGAAGTGTATGCACATGCATACATGCATGTATGTGCTTGTACATACATTAAATTTTTTCTTTAAAAAATAAAAGTTTCTTTAAAATGCACCATGACTCCCGTCAGGAGGAGAGATGTGAAAGGATAAATGGCAAGTGGGAGCCAGGCTGTTCCCGGCATGCCTTTTGGTACTTTCTGAGTTTTGAAACACAGGAGTGTATTACTTATTCAAAACTTAATAAATTGGTAATTATTATGCATATGTTTGCATGTATATGTGTGTACTATTTTTAAAAAAATGGCTTTCAGGAACTGTATCTGGCAACATAAGGAAGGAGAGAACGGAAATGAAAGTGCCAGCACACGGGAAGAATAGTCGAAGCGAAAGACAAAGAGCCAGACGTCACGTGGGGGACAGGTGTGGAATGGTGAAGAAGGGGTGGCCAGGAAAACCGCCACAGTGATAAGAGAGACATGATAAGCAAATGGAATGAGTGAGGGAGAAAAACGTGAAAACCATGAAGAGATGGCTGGGGGGAGGCTGGTATAACTTGTCATATATAACTTGTCATATGTAAGTTCTCGCCCAGGAGCTAAGACCTTATACTTAGAAACAGGTGTTTTAATGTTGAGATAGAGGCAAGATCATCTTAACAAAGATGTCCAACAAACACTGGACCTTCTGATCTGGAGTCCAGGGGAAAATCACCTGTAAAGATAAGTTTGGGAACTCTCAGAATCTGGGTGACAACTGGAGCCAGCTATGGGGTGAGGAAATGGAAACGTGAGAAGGTGACACACAAAGATGGGTGCTGATAAGCGGTGAGCCTGTGGAGATGCCTGAACCAACGCACTGGGAGAGGAGAGCCGAAAGAGAAAGCGTCATGGACGTAAAGGGGAAAGAAAATAGTAAGTGTCCAACACTTCTGCGGCGCTGAGGACGAGGGTGACTGCGATGAGGCATTTGGGTGTGACAACCAGGAGGCAGCTGGTAACCTAAAAGGCAACTGTTTGAGCAGCTTGTAGGAGATGATCAGTAAAATCTAGGTTGTAAGGGCAGAGGCATGAGTGGTGAGAAATTGCAGATGGGGCATACAAGCTATTAATTAGAAGAGTTTGGTGCAGAGAAGGAGGGAAATGCGCAAGTGGCCTACAAGCACTGTGAGCTCAGCGGAAGGTGATAACAGAACAGAAAGCTGAAAAATGCACAACGAGGGACGGTTCGAGGGGAAGGTGAGCGGTCCAACCCATCAGCCCAGAACCTTGGACTAGAATCAATCCAGGAATAAAATCATGGAAAAAGGATGCTGAGACATTCCCAGGTTTTTAAAATAGGTAAGCGTGTGAGTAATGTTCTCTTTACATCGCGTGGCAAAAGTTGCCTGCTGACCGGGGAAAGTCTGAAACAATGCCCAAACAGAACTTTCTGCAGTGATAGGGGTATTGTGTGTGTGTGCTCCTCCACACGTCACTGCTAGCCACAGGCGGCCACTGAGCACTTGCAGTGTGGCTCGTGTGACCAAGAGGTTAATTCATTTGATGTAATTTTAATTTATCTAAATTTCAATGACCACATGAGGCTAGTGCCAGGGTATTGGATAGTGCCCAGTTAGGAATTAGAGGATGCTGGGAAAGAATGAAATGATGACTGTGCAGTGAGACAGCAAGCTGAGAGTAGAAAGGCGGCCCAGGAGCACTGATTTCTCTTCAGTAAGTGCCATCGACTGGGTCAGGAATAGAAATTTGTCTCTACTCGCTAAGCTACTACTGAGGGACCGCAGGCATGATTAGGCATCTCTTCTGCTATCTGCAAAATAAAAAGCTGGAAGTATCCCTCCAGTGCATAGAATAAATGTACTTACAGGAGTCCAGAACAGCAGGTTAGAAACGCAGCCGATAGCAGGCTCTAAATTACCCATCGAAACTGGTGACTGAAAATGAATGGACAATCGCTCGCCACAGATCAGCCCTGACCTTATTGTTGGACTTTTCCAACATCTTCTCCCTTGAGCTTTTTAGACAGCATTTCAGCTGGCCTCTTCACACTCTTTGCTATGTGTTGACTTTCAAGTTGTAAGGGAGGACAGACAGGCAAGGAGCGTGGCCAGGGCTCGCACCAACCATCAGCCACACTCGCGCTGTCGCCTTTGCTGTGGGAAGAGCGACAGACCCCTACTGCTTTCAGAGGCATTTAGTGCTGTCACAATGTAACTGTTTTAAAGCCCAGTGGGAAAAAATTAAAAGATTATAATAGAAATGTAATTTCAATGCTAAGCATTGTTCTAAGAAAAACAGCACCTGTGTACATTTTCCTCTTCCTTTTGCAGGATGCCCACAAAGACATTTTTAAAAGGCTGCCATTATCCCTCCAACTCCATCAAATTCACTCCCAATTCAAAGACGGCTTAGAAATTCTACATCTAGAAATTTATCTTAAGGAAACGACGAGAAGTTTGACAGAGGGGATCACAAAAAAAAGTTTAAAAATGATATGCAGTGAGTTTGAGAAAAAACTGTAAAAAAAGACAGATATTTTTATGAGTTTATATAAATCATGAAGGGTGCTCTAAGCGACTCAATATATAAATGGGCAAAGAACATAAACCAATAGCATGAAGCAAGGCATAAATATGATCGACTAATGTACAAATATCCCATCCTCCACTATTAGCAGGAATAACAACAACGGGGTATCATCAGGTGATCCAATCTTCCAAACTTCTCCTTTGAGAACATGGACTGTTTCTAAGCTTAAAGTCATTCCCTCCCACCAGAGGGTTGGTATTTAACTTGATTTTTATCTATTTAAAAGGCTTTTATTTAAATGGTCGTTAATTTATAGATGTACTTAAATTTATAACTATACTTGATGTATAAATGTACTTAAAGGATAGGAAGATTATGAGGGTCAACATAAGTGCCAGTGAGGGCAAGATGGTGGGGTGGTTATAGGTAATCATTCAGAAGAACTATTTTAAAATTGTATTTTTCTGATAGATTTTCAAACACAACAGTAGGAAGAGATATAAACTATTAGTAGTCTTCAAAACCAAAGGTGTCATAGTAACCTGAACCTTTCAAGGACAATAGAAACCACCAGAATTTAATTACAATTTGAGTACTACAAATCTCTTGGTGTCAGTCCTTGTTAACTTAGCAGAGAGCCAGCCGTGTGGGGCCAAAGGCCCTTCTTAGGTGTCAGCAGTAACAGGACATTCCTGCTGGGTCAAGTCTAAGCCATGCAAAGAGGATACAGTTTCTAAAAAGAGGATGTGGGGGCCGGCTGAGTGGCACGTTGGGTTGGTTAAGAGTTGGCTTGGGACGCCAGAGGGCCCCGGTTCAGATCCCACATATGAGGGCCAGTGACACTGCCCTCTACAGCTAAGATGCTGAACAGCAGCTCAACCCGGAGCTGGGCTGCAGTGGGTTGCCAATGGGCTACTGTGTGTAGCCGGCAGCTGCCATGAGTGGCCGTCCAGAGACCGGCGACTGATCTGCCTCACCCGGGAAGAGCGCAATGATGGTGCCACCTTGGGCCAGTGAAGCAACGTCCTCCACAACTAGACTGAAGAACTAAAGGACAGCAACTTGTCTGTTCCCCCTTC